TGACAACAACCTGAATTTCAGCACCCATATCCAGCATATAGCCAAAAAATTATGCAAAACGGTTGGGAGCCTCTCCAAGATACGATACTACGTGCCGCAAAATGCCCTTCTCACACTATACCACTCGCTTATTTATCCATACCTCACCTATGCTATTTGTGCTTGGGGATCAACTGCAGCAACACACCTAAAGCCAATAATAACCCAACAAAAAGCTGCAGTAAGAATAATCACTAAATCCCATCCCTGGCAGCACACCCCCCCACTCTTCAAAGATCTAAACTTACTCCCAGTTCAGTACATCCACACTTACTACTGTGCAATCTATATCTACAGGGCCTTAAACTCTAATATCAACCTTGACCTAAAACGCTTTCTTGATAGTTGTGACAGAACCCACAGGCATAACACCAGAAACAAACATCTCTACGACATTCCCCGTGTCCGACTAAACCTTTACAAAAATTCAATGTATGTCAAAGGCCCTAAAATCTGGAATACCCTACCTGAGAACTCTAGAACTGCAGACACATTCATCACCTTCAAAACTACCATTAGAAAACATCTTATCTCCCTGATACACCCCGTCAACTAACTACACGTATACCACCTGGTGGTTCACACTTACACTCGCTCACTCATTTGACCATAAACAGAAATATTAATCTCAGTCTTAAAATAATGAATCCTGTGATACTCCAATACTGAAACTATATACTGTGCCAAAACAAAAGCATTCACATTGCTAAACTCACAAACTAGTATTTAGTCACTTAGCCATAATACCAACTTACCTCATAATTTGTAATATTTTACAATTAAGAATAAAACTAAGTATGCCCGAAATGCCTAGCCATGCTAAGCGTTCTAGTGGTACACTCTGTAATCACAATTTTACTACATGTAAACCAAACAATAACCAAATTTCTGTAAACTCAGCATTGTAATCCTTATAGAGAATAAACTTTGAATATTTTTTTTTCTGCACAACGCTAATATGTACATACTCAAAACTATATTTCTCTATTTTTCCATCATTTTCATGTCACATTGTGTTTATTCTACTTGTAAACATTGTTACGTATGCTGATTAAACCAAGCTGAATATTTTTCCCCGCTTGTCATTCGTGACTAATTTTGGAACTCCTCTTTGCAAGTCACACTAACAAAAAGTAGAGGTGGGAGGGAGTATATATAGGCCAGCAGACATTGTGAATGTCTGCTGGCCTATATATACTCCCTCCTCCTCTCCTTTTTGTTAGTTTGTAAATGGTTCAAGTCGGACCGAAACGTCGTCTTAGGCTCCTCTCTCCTATGTGCGGGTTATTTGTGTATTGTTCCAGTCACGGTATCTGGAGTTTCTGGAGTTTATCTGGAGAGAGTTCCGGGGGTCAACGCCCCCGCGGCCCGGTCTGTGACCAGGCCTCCTTAGGTCAGTGTCCCAGGATGCGACCCACACCAGTCGACTAACACCCAGGTACCCATTTTACTGATGGGGAACATAGACAACAGGTGGAAAGAAACACGTCCAATGTTTCTACTCTGGCTGGGAATCGAACCCAGGCCCTCACCGTGTGAAGCGAGAGCGTTAACCACCAGGCCACCAGTGCCTCTTTTTGTTATTTTTGGAACTCCTCATTCTTATACTGTATTCGTGGGAAGCGGGACTCTAACATGACCCGTACATCCTTCTTAAAGGAGCAATAATAGTTTCAGTTCATTGCATGAACCACAATCCTTTATCTAAGCATAGCTCTATATCGGTGTGTTTTGCCTCTTCTTTTTCTTTACCCCCATTTTTCAATAATAGACCTTATTTATATCCAAAACTATCTCACAAAGCAAGTAACCTGAATATAAATGTATATAATCTGCATCAAACTTTATTCCCTGTCATTCACGATGCTCTGTATTTACCTCTTCCCCTCATCATCATATATTCGCAACAAACGATACTGGTTACAGCTGATAGCAAATTTACCACATCGCAAATTAAGCTGACGTGCTCTTGTATTAACGTGGTATTCGCTTATAGCTGGGAGGCACACTGACACTCCATGACTCTTCCATATACCACTAAGACAACTGTGACCTCACAAGATCCCATATCAAGTAAATCAAATAAAAATCTTTAAACCTATTTTGCAGTCAGTGAAAAAAGGAGATCCTTAATGATATTCAATTACAAAAATATACATTGAAGACTATTCAGTCTCTGGCACTGAGACGATTTATAGAATTTTAAGTGCAGAAGAGTTGAAAAAGTTCTCATACAAATAGGTGGTAGATGACACGAGAACATCGAAAGGCTCTACTATTAACTGTGAAAACATTTCGAGTTGTGCACGCTATTTTTTTTTTTGGCCGTCATTAATTCAAATTCCGCTCTGATTCCTTCATTAGCTTTCAGTTTATCTTTCATTATATCACTATTATCTATGGAATCCAGATTAAAAATACATGGCCTCTGTATCCATCCCTGAGCCACGAAAGCTTTGTGGTGAAAATAACCTCGGAAAGACTGAATCAATTCCTATGACTGATGTTTCACTTTAGCCACGAGGGTCGGTTCTTTTTCTGCACCAGCAGCCTCGTTCAGTGAAGGAAAATTGTTAAAACTTCCCTTCTAAATAAAATACTTCCAAAGTAGTTTTTTTTCCCCCCGTCATGGAAAAAAAATTTCCTTGGACGGAAATGTTCATTACGGACAGTTCAGCCTCCCCCAGCTTTGCTTTTTCGTACCCCCAGGGGGGTATTGGTACCTCTGGTTAAGTACTCTCCCAACAACGCAATTCCCATTCGAGTGAAATTAACCACCCCAACACTAACATGGAAGCTGCATTAAAACTGACTTGACAATGGTTCATTTTCCTTCCGCCTTGAAACTGAATTTCAAAAAGGGAAAATTTCCCCAGTTATAAAGCCAGTGTACAGAGGAAAGGCCGCGAGGTATTTAGATTCAATGCAGAACCCCTGGACTACAGGTCCAAAATATCAGTAGGTCGGATGCCTGATCTTCCTTCCCTGTTGACAACTCAGTTTCACGTCCTCCTTCTCTTACCCCTTTTGTCTCTCTTATCTTCAGTACATTGCTCTTTTCTCATCTTCCTCAACTATGCAGTCATCTTTCTCACAGTTGAACATGTAAACATATTCAGGGCTTTCCACGGTGTTTCCGAAAGTCATTTTTATCATACGGCTGAAGGGAGCTAGTAGCAGAAGGTGAGAAGAGTCACAAATGAACTTATGAGCTAACAAAGAAAATCAGTTATATAATAAGTCGGCTTCATTAAAACAGTCTGAGAGAGCATGCAAAATTAAAGCGTATAGGCTCTGAAAAATACTCCGAAAATGAATTCGACACATTCTCTGAGAATTAGTATAATTAATCAGGTGTTTCAAATTCAGCGGGAGCTGACAAGTTGCAGAGAGACGTCTAGTCTCTCCATGTGATAGGTGATCGATACGTGTCCGTCTTTTGTGATCAATGTGTAGTTATGAAAAGATATTGACCAAGACTCAAACTGGCTTGATCAGGAGCAGTTTGTCTTCTGATTTTTACCAATGATGTTGCTATAAATTTCGAATGGTCTTAGACAAGATTAGAAAATAGTCTTAAAAGGATACATCCCTGTGAGAGATGGACAGGTGCTGGACGGTGGAAGGTACATAAGCCAGAAAGTTCACCGTCCTGGACACCAGAATGACCAGGGACCCAGTAAAAGACGTTGAATGCAATGGACCATGGGATGCAAAGAATCAAAGTTCTTAAGAGCTTACGCACTGGCCTGGAGTTTTAGGACGCACTCGCCATAAGTTCAAACCCCACCCATTCCACGATTTATAAATGGAGAGTGTGAATAGAAAAGGAAGGTGGGGAAGGGCGGGGGACGGAGTAAGTCAGGAGAAGTAATTGAAATCTGAAGGTTAAGACTAAAATAACTTTACATAGAAGAACGACGATTTGAAAGATCAGCTGTACTACTAACATCTGTTAGTATTCTGTAGGTCCCACGGTCATGTACGTGAAAATGAACAAGACTGCGTAGACAGTATCTAGAGTTCTAGACAGTCTTACGGTGAAGGAACAGACTACACAAGCTTTCGACTGAGGGCATAATAATAATCATGGGGGGGGGGGGCGCTAAACCAGTAGGGATTATACAGCACCTGTGGGGAGGGGGGGGATGGAAGGTATTCAGACTCAATTCAAGAAACTGGAGCACAAATTCAATTCCCTATATCAAGAGCCTCTCACCAGCGTCAAGGAACCTCCCTTCAGGGGTCTCAGGACGAAAAAAAAAAACAGACGTAATCCATGATGACGGAGAGCATCAAGCTGTCCATCATCTGTTGAAGCGGAGGAATACACACCAACCCAGGAATTATATTTAGATGAAATCAAGGTCTTGTGAAGAAGAGAACAACTCGCTTGAAGTGTACACAAAGTGTCGTAAGCCACAGCTTGGCGGTGTCGACAAACTATTTACAATTACTCTGTTAAGGTTCTAGAGCTGTCACCATTTACAATCACCCTGGTTCTAGAGCTGTCACTATTTACAATCACCCTGGCTCTAGAGCTGTCACCATTTACAATGAGCCAGGTTATAGAGCTGCCACCATTTACAATCAGCCAGGTTCTAGAAGTATCACCATTTACAATCACCCTGGTTCTAGAGCTGTCACTATTTACAATCACCCTGGCTCTAGAGCTGTCACCATTTACAATCAGCCAGGTTCTAGAAGTATCACCATTTACAATCAACCTGGTTCTAGAACTGCAACCATTAACAATCAACCAGGTTTTAGAACTGCCACCATTTACAATCAGCCAGGTTCTAGAACTGCCACTAGGCATTTTTCGAACTAGCCGGTTTGAGATAAGCAACTAACAATTTCAATGAACTGTTACTACAGAATGAATTCAACTGAGATCTAATGGCTGACATCTGAAATGATTTTTGAATGAGTGATTAAATAACATCAGATGAAGTGCTTACAGTTCAACTGGAGAGAGAGAGAGCGAGAGAGCCGGCAGTGTACAAGGTCTACATCAGGCTGAGCGTCACAGGCGTCCTCAGGTGGGTCATGTAACAACCTGAAAGGCACCTTGAATTAATTATACAAATAATGGAAAATAACAAGAACAGATTAACACAATATATTGGCACAAAACGAACATTTTATATATATATATATATATATATATATATATATATATATATATATATATATATATATATATATATATATATATATATATATATATATATATATATATATATTAAATACAAGGATTACAAATTAGAGGTTGTATAAATCAAGCTGAAGCTTGATTATATATAATTATAATCACGGGGAGCGCTAAACCCGTAGGATTATACAACTCATATGGGGGGATGGAGGTATTCAGGCTCAATTCAGGGAACAGGAGCACAAATCCGATTCCCTAGACCAAGAGCCCCTCACCAGCGTTAAGGAACCTCTCTTGACGGGGGGTTGAGGCTTGAACCGAGAATTATTTATAGATGGGTATAAGCTCTTAATTGAAAGTACGGGAGACTTAAAAAAAAATATATATATATTGTGAACGACACATACGTTGAACACTTTGCTACCTATTTTTCCGAAACGTATCGGCTATACAATAGGTTTTTTGTTCTTAGTCGATTACAGAGGTAGAGATAAATGGTATAAAATACCGACACGATGGAAAAATACACAAATGCAGTGTATATAGGGAGTATATACTCCCTATATATACTGCATATACTCCCTATATATACTACATATATTCCCTATATATACTACATATACTCCCTATATATACTGCATATACTCCCAATATATACTACATATACTCCCTATATATATACTGCATATACTCCCTATATATATTCTGTGTTCAGGTAGATCTGTTTGTGACTATAAAACTCATTGTGTGGGCGAAACGTAGATGATAAAGGATCGCAATGCACTGCAACTGTGTATTTTTTTCATCTAATACAAAGGTGACTGAAATTGCAGAGGTAAAGATGTGATCAGTGCATCATACATGGAGAAACAAAGATACCCAAGTGTTGCACATGTGTCTTATCATCAACTTGTCGGTACTGTGTACCATCATAGTGATACTGTATAAAGATAATAAGATACAATTCTACCGATTGGGTTTAGCCCGTCTGTAACACGTCTGCCTCGTATGATGTTACAAAAAAGGAATGTCCCGGAGTTAAGTCAGTTGTGAAGTATTGAGACACTTATGCAGCATATGGTGTCTCAATCTTCAACTTGTTGGTTTTTCAAACCATTCATCACAGTTGTGAAGTAGATGACGTAAACAACACTACACAAGACCTAGCACCACCATATTTTAAAAGATTTAAAATGCACAAAATAATGAACAAACCATAACCACACCCACACCTCCTACACACAGACACCCACCAACAAATGCTGAACACACTGCATACAACCGAGGAGAAGAAACTGCTAGCGGAACTAGATACCTTGAAGGCGGTGGGCCCAGATAATCTCTCTCTTGGGTCCTGAGAGATTGAACATTAAAATGGTATAAAATACCGACAGGTTGTTAGGTAAGACACATATGCAACAGTTAGGTATCTTTATTTCGAAACGTTTCGCCTACACAGTAGGCTTCTTCAGTCGAGTACAGAAAAGTTGATAGAAGCAGAAGAGACTTGAAGACGATGTAATCAGTCCATCACCCTTAAAGTTTTGAGGTGGTCAGTCCCTCAGTCTGGAGAAGAGTGTTGTTCCATAGTCCAACATCTGCGTTCTACTAGTGACCTACGTCTCACCTCCTGGCGCTATATAAGGCTCCATCCTGTCACTTCAACTCCATATTGCTTCAGACTATGGAACAATGCTCTTCTCCAGACTGAGGGACTGACCACCTCAAAACTTTAAGGGTGATGGACTGATTACATCGTCTTCAAGTCTCTTCTGCTTCTATCAACTTTTCTGTACTCGACTGAAGAAGCCTACTCTGTAGGAGAAACGTTTCGAAATAAAGATACCTAACTGTTGCATATGTGTCTTACCTAACAACGGGTCCTGAGAGAGGGAGCAGATGCACCGTGTGTGCGCCACTAATAACAATCTTCAGTAAATCTATCGAAACAGGGCAACTGCCTGAGGTATGAAGACCAAATGTAGTCCTGAGTTTTAAAAAAGGAGACAGACAAGCTGCATTAAATTACAGACAAGTGTTCTGACATGTATGTAAAGTTATGCAGATTATCAGGAAAAGAATGGTAGAGGACTTAGAAAGGAACAGACTAATACATGACAACCAGCAAAGCTTTAGGGACGGGAAATCCTGCATCACAAACCTATTGGAGGTCAATGACAAGGTAACAGAATTAAGACAGGAGAGGGATGGGTAGAATGCATATTCTTGGACTGTAAGAAAGTTTTCGACACAGTGCCCCACAAGAGACTGGTTGAAAAGGTAGAGGAGCAGGTAGAAATAGGAGGGAAAGTACTGCAATGGATCAGGGAATACATGATCCATTGCAGGTATTCGGTACGAGACGAGGTGTCAGAGTGGGGTTCCACAAGGGTTAGTCATAGGTCTGATGCTCTTTCTTGTATATTTGAATGACATGATGGAAGGAATAGTCAGAGGTATCCCTGTTCGCGGGCGATGTGAAACTAATGAGAATGCAAGCAGATGATGATCAGGTAATCCTAAAAGGGGATCTAAACGGGCAATAAGCCTGGTCCGACAAATGGCTCCTAGGGTTTAACCCCAGCAAGTGCAGAGTTACGAAGCTTGGGGAAGGACAAAGGAGACCGCAGATGGAGTACAGCATAAGAGGTCAGCGGTTGCAGGACTGACTCAAGGAAAAAAGATGAGTCACAGTGATGTGAGCAAGTATTTCTTCAGTCGCAGAGTTCTCAAGAAGTGGAATAGTCTGGTGAGTGATGAAGTGGAAGCAGGATCCACACAGCTTTAAGAAGAGGTATGATAAAGCTCATGGAGCAGGGAGAAGTGGGCCTAATAGCGACCAGTGAAGAGGCGGGGCCTGGAGTTATGAATCGACTCTTGCAACACAAAATAATCACCCCCCCCCAAAAAAACACCCCCCCACTCGCACCCACATCCACATCCTAACACACACACCCCCACACGCACCCACATCCACATCCTAACACACACACCCCCACACGCACCCACATCCAAATCCTAACACACACACACACCCACATCCCCCCATTCACCAACCCACACCCCCACCACCCCCACATTCTAGCACACTCACCCACCCACATCCTAATACATACACACACACACACACACACACATTTGCCCCCCCCACACCCACATTCCCCTCCCCCCCACACACAATCTCCTAACGAAAACGAAAAACAAACCTTATTATAAGATAAAAAAAACTGACGGTAGAAATATCATTACAAAAGAACGGAAAAAAAAATATTAAACAGTCCATAACAAAGTCAATTAGTAAGAACAAAGCATAATATACACGAAACAAAGGTCACCATTATTTATACTGTTTGTAAACTCTGGCAACTTGACCAAACTTGCAGGCCAATTATATTATTATTATTTATTATCACTATTATTATTATGGGGAGCGCTAAAACTTGCATGGCAATTATTATTATTATTATGGGGAGAGCGTTAAACTTGTAGGGCAAAGAGCTATTGATTAGATACCTCGCATCAACCACCCCTACACAAGGGAACCTCTCTTGTTGGGGGAAAACGCTAAACCCATAGGGGATAATGCAGTTTTTCTGGGGAGGGAGTCTTATCGAAGGAGAAGGAAAATAGGTCCAATTCCTGGGATCAAGAGCCTCTCACCGACAACAAGGAACCTCCCTTGAGTGGTATACTGCGCTAGTTTAAAAACTAAGCAGCCATTATTCTATCTTACTTAATGACAACATTCTCAGCACAACAAAATTGTTAGAAATACAATCACTAAAAGTACCAGTCTTCAGTTTTCTTCACCTGGGCTGCAACCCGCTGTAGGTAACCGTGACTCGACCTCAACAAATATATTTGGGTCACTACATTACAACTTGAACGCACTTTAAACTACACGCAAAATTTAAGATCCTTATACATAAGAAGTACTATATACACTATTTTAATTGTTTTTATAATTATAACTAAGCGCTAAACTCATAAGGGTCATGTAAAACTTTTCTACACACACAGAATTATTATTCATTGTTCTCACAACTGATGGACCCGGGATCGATCCTGGGGCCAGTGGCAACAAAGGTTATTCGCTAGATTTCTAAGGGGCATATTATTATTATTATTATTATAATCAAGGGGGAAGCGCTAAACCCAGAGGAATATACAGCGCCTGGGGGGGGGGATGTGGAAGGCATTCAGGCTTAATTCGGGGAACTGGAGCACAGATCCAATTTCCTAAATCAAGAGCCCCTCACCAACATCAAGGAACCTTCCTTGAGGGGCTAAGGGGCATAGAACATTGGGAGAGGGGGAAGGGATAAATATGATCTACGGTCAAGATAGCCTTGATTTCATGGATCAAGAGCCTTTCGCCGGCATCAAAACAGTCCTTGAACAAAGATGATCACAAGGAAAGGTTGATCCACATTAGTGGAATACTTACAGAAGGAAGAGGATTCATCACGAGATTTGTAACTTGTTGTTAGCACCAACACTGACCTTCAACTGACATTCTGCTCAAGTTAGGTGTTACACTCCAGCAACCCGTGTGTAACACCTTAGCTACATCCCCTCCACACCGCAAGATGGCGTTGACAACCACAATCCCCCAGAAGCGCTCTTCCAGTCCCACCTATCCACAATGACGGTGGCCTTCGTCATTCCAAACCTACCCCCTTACTTTCACGACACTAGTGCCATATATACCACCTTCTTTTCCTCCTCCTTGATCGCCTCTTCAAGACAGTGTTCTACCAAGACCATCGCTCAAAACACAGGTGGTTTTATAATCTCGGAAATCCTTGCCAAACACATCTTTAATAAGCTAAATCCAGCCATCTCCTGCCTGTCCTCCAGCCTCACCCACTATATATACTCTGCATTTTTTCACAGCATTGGTAAGGCACTTGATGGGCAAAATTTCTTATTGGTGTCATAATATAACATGTATTTTTCCTATATTTTTTTTTCTAACGCACTGGTCGTCTCCCACCGAGGCAGGGTGACCTAGAAAAGAAAAATTTTTTTTTTTACATGTAGTAATTTATACAAAAGGGGTTACTAGTCCCTTGCTCCCGGCATTTTATATTTCCTACATATCAGTATTAATCATCATTTATAACCTCCAATATTCAGGATTTCCCCCCCACCCGCCCCACATGTAAACACTGTCCCCTCACACTCGCATAATCTTCTCCGGAACCTCCCTTCATCCACTCTCCAAATTGAGGAAAAAAGACACATAAGTACGGTTTAGGATATTTATTAGAGGAAACGTTTTGCTACGAGTGGCTTCTTCAGTCGTGGCGAAACGTTTCCTTTAATAAATGTCTTGAACTGTACATAAGTGTCTTTCCATATCTCATTTGCGTCAGCGTATCATTTTTCACTTTCCTCAATCACCAGGACCTGTTCTCTACAACAAGTTCATCGGAATGACGGAATTTCTACTCGCCACCCCCTTTCCACTGTATTTTTTTTCCAGACCTTTGATAAGATGAGATAATTCACGTTAAGCGCTAAAATCACGTGGGTTACTGAGCGCAAGACGTAGTGGAGGCTCGAACCTCCACTACGGACGGACGCGCTTCCTATTTGTACTTCTGCAGGCTGATGGTCCATCACTCCAAGCTGCCTCATCCACCCCTGACGCCAGGTGCACCGCATCAAAATTCTCATCTTGTTGCCATTATAAAACACCGACGTAACGTACTGCGTCTCTTGTTCCCACCTACACGTAGCTCATTCCCCTCATCCTCTCCTGTAAAAAATCCTCTCACTTCACAATTAAGAAAACCCGGGTTTGATCCGAGGGAAGCGTAGCTGAAATTCCCTTCACCAGCATCAAGGCACCTTCCCAACGAAGGCCATGATACCTTCAATCACAGAATTATGAGAAGTGAATTTCCCAAATCACCAATATGGCCGAGGTAATTTGCATTTTTGGGTGAATTTGGATTTCATATAGTAATTCTAGAATATAATTATATTAGAGTTGCGCAAATTGTTATTAGAACAATCTATTTTATGATAAGTTGATAACTAACTCAATGTCCTGGTGATGTACACACAATGATAATTATGAACATTATTGGCTCGTTATATATTATGCGGGGATAAACTGAGGAATTTATATGGAACGAGAGTAATATATTGCTGATAATTACATAGTTGGTGTACAGAAAGACAAGAGAGAGAGAGAGAGAGAGAGAGAGAGAGAGAGAGAGAGAGAGAGAGAGAGAGAGAGAGAGAGAGAGAGAGAGAGAGAGAGAGAGAGAGAGAGAGAGAGAGAGAGAGAGAGAGAGAGAGAGAGAGAGAGAGAGAACACACATTGTAGAGAGGGAGACAGAGTAGCAACAAAACCGTAAAAGCGAGAGAGGTAAGAGTTGACAGATAGAAAGAGACAAGGAGAAAGAGAGGAGATAAACTCATTCCTCTGCCTTTATTGCCTCACTAGCAAAAGATGAGTAGCTATTAAGATCAAGGGTGGGTAGGTAGGGTTATAGGTTGACCAAACCCAGGATCAATCACCACCGTCATGCCTGCTGGGTACTATCTTAATAACCTCTTCAAGACTGAGAACCAGTCCTTCACACACACACACACACACACACACACACACACACACACACACACACACACACACACACACACACACACACACACACACACACACAGCACGTAGGACCGAAGCTACTGGTTGTAGGGAATTTCAATCACAAAAGAAGAGACTGGGAGAACCGGGATCCACATAGATCCCAGTATTTTAAAGACACCACAAGAATTCTTTCAGGGGATGAACCAGCTCGGCTTGACGTGGTTTTTACCTCGAATGAACCGAATATAGGAGAAATAGAATACGGCCTACATCTATGGACTAGTAATCACACCATACTTGGTAAAACTGGTAGCGGAGAGGAGAGACTAATGATAAATCAGACAACGGAAGAGGAAACAATGCAGGGAAGAAAGATTTTTGAATTAGAATCCAGTGGGACAATGAACTGAATGGTCATATTACCCAGACGATGAAGGAGGACCTCGCCTGTGACAGTAAACCGCAGCAAGGATCATACCTATCAAGAAGGGAGGGAAGACCATACACAGGCGTGTTTAGATCATACACAGGCGTGTTAAGATCATACACATTCGTGTTAAGACCATACACAGGCGCGTTAAGACCATACACAGGCGTGTTAAGACCATACACAGGAGTGTTAAGACCATACACAGGAGTGTTAAGACCATACACAGGCGTGTTAAGACCATACACAGGGGTGTTAAGACCATACACAGGCGTGTTAAGACTATACACAGGCGTGTTAAGACCATACACAGGGGTGTTAAGACCATACACAGGCGTGTTAAGACTATACACAGGCGTGTTAAGACCATACACAGGCGTGTTAAGACCATACACAGGCGTGTTAAGACCATACACAGGCGTGTTAAGACCATACACAGGCGTGTTAAGACCATACACAGGCGTGGAAAGACCATACACAGGCGTGGAAAGACCATACACAGGCGTGGAAAGACCATACATTGGGGTGGAAAAACGGGAAGATCGCAGTTCCGAAATTAACATAACAGAAACCAAATCAGAAGTGAAAGAATAACACAGCCACTTAAAAAGAAAGATGGCTATGACATAACAAGTAATAAATATGAGGAAGGCGGAGTAGGGAGGAGTACTACTCAGAGACGTCGATAATATTGATACTAATTAACCATTTAAATCCTGGTAGTAACTCATTGGCAGCTACCTAATACTTGCTGACATGCGTAAATACGCTCAATACTGCTGTTGTGGTTGCTGTCTCCGGTGCTGCTGTCTCCGGTGTTGCTGTCTTGGATGTTGCTGTCCTGGGTGCTGCTGTCTCAGATGCTGCTCTCTCACATGTTGCTGTCTTGGGTGCTGTTGTCTCAGGTGCTGCTGTCTTGGGTGCTGTTGTCTCAGGTGCTGCTGTCTTGGGTGCTGCTGTCTTGGGTGTTAAAATTTCAAGGATTAAGACGTCTTCACCTCCTCAAGGTCCTCTTGAAGAATGGTGCCGAGGAGAGTGGGCGGACAGGTGAACCACAGTTGTTTACACCCTGAGGTTTTCCTGACTGCACCTCCACCCCTGGAGGCTTCCCTGATTGCACCTCCACCCCTGGAGGCTTCCCTGATTGCACCTCCACCCCTGGAAGCTTCCTTGACTGTACCTCCATCCCTGGAGGCTTCCTTGGCTGCACCTCCACCCCTGGAGGCTTCTTTGATTGCACTTCCACCCCTGGAAGCTTCCCTGACTGCACCTCCACCCCTGGAGGCTTCCCTGATTGCACCTCCACCCCTGGAGGCTTCTCTGACTGCACCTCCACCCCTGGAAGCTTCCTTGATTGCACCTCCACCCCTGCAGGCTTCTCTAACTGCAACTCCACCCCTGGAGGCTTCCCTGACTGCACCTCCACCTCTAGAGGCTTCCATGATTGCACCTCCACCCCTGGAGGCTTCTCTGACTGCACCTCCACCCCTGGAAGCTTCCTTGATTGCACCTCCACCCCTGGAGGCTTTTCTAACTGCAACTCCACCCCTGGAGGCTTCCCTGACTGCACCTCCACCTCTAGAGGCTTCCATGATTGCACCTCCACCCCTGGAGGCTTTTCTAACTGCACCTCCACCCCTGGAGGCTTCCCTGACTGCACCTCCACCCCTGGAGGCTTCTCTAACTGCATCTCCACCCCTGAAGGCTTCCCTGACTGCACCTCCACCCCTGGAGGTTTCTCTAACTGCATCTCCACCCCTGGAGGCTTCCCTGACTGCACCTTCACCCCTGGAAGCTTCCTCGATTGCACCTCCACCCCTGGAGGCTTCTCTAACTGCACCTCCACCCCTGGAAGCTTTCTTGATTGCAACTCCACCCCTGGAGGCTTCTCTAACTGCACCTCCACCCCTGGAGGCTTCCCTGACTGCACCTCCACCCCTGGAGGCTTCTCTAACTGCACCTCCATCCCTGGAGGCTTCCCTGACTGCACCTCCACCCCTGGAGGCTTCTCTAACTGCACCTCCACCCCTGGAGGCTTCCCTGACTGCACCTCCACCCCTGGAGGCTTCCCTGACTGCACCTCCACCCCTGGAGGCTTCTCTAACTGCACCTCCATCCCTGGAGGCTTCCCTGACTGCACCTCCACCCCTGGAGGCTTCTCTAACTGCACCTCCACCCCTGGAGGCTTCCCTGACTGCACCTCCACCCCTGGAGGCTTCTCTAACTGCACCTCCACCCCTGGAGGCTTCCCTGACTGCACCTCCACCCCTGGAGGCTTCCCTGACTGCACCTCCACCCCTGGAGGCTTCTCTAACTGCACCTCCATCCCTGGAGGCTTCCCTGACTGCACCTCCACCCCTGGAGGCTTCCCTGACTGCACCTCCACCTTCACTTCCTCATTCCCCCGTTTCTCGTTATGGTTTTAAGTGTCGCGGCGTCACATTTAATTGGCGAAACTGTCCGCTTGTCTGGCGCTGTTTCACAGGTGGGTCC